TGATACTTAATAGATAAACTTATTGCAATTCATGAATGCTCTTTTATATTCACACATTATTTCACTTTAATACAGACCTAAGGTTAGTCTCTTTTTAAAGAAAATCCTCAGCAGATTATTGCAGAAGGAAAACAATTTGTGTACCAAATTTGAAGTTAAAACCACCTAAACTGAGCCCGCTAAAATCATGTAAAATACTGTTTCCTTTGTAACGCAATGTCCAATTTCAAAACGGTTTTCAAAGGGTGAATTTTTAGTGTTTAAGCTTTCAATTTATAACTAATTTAGGATGATTCCTAAACAGTCACGTGAAAAAGAAAGTACACCCTTCTGTTTTATGTATCAGAACATAGTAAAAAAATATCTGGTCTATAGCAGGTCTTAAAATTAATTAAAACCTCAGATAAACAAAAATACATAACATATTAAACCATGTAATTTTAAAACAATAAAAAAATAAAGCCAAAATGGATAAGCCATGTGTGACAAACTACACCCCATGATTTAATAGCTTGTAGAGCCATCTTATATATGACTTTATCAGTATCTCACATCGTTGTGGAGGAATTTTGGCCCACTTTTCTTTACAATGTTGCTGCAGTTCATTGAGGTTTGTGGGCTTTTGTTTATGCGCAGCTCTCTTAAGGTCCTGCCACAGCATTTTGGGTTGAGGTCTGGGCTTTGGCTGGGCCAGTCCAACACCATGATTCATTTCCTATTCAGCCATTCTGTTGTAGATTTGCCGGTGTGCTTGGGATTGTTGTCCCTTTGCATGACGCAGTTTCGCCCAAGCTTTTTCTGTCGGACAGATGGCCTCATATTTGACTCTAGAATACTTTGGTATACAGAGGAGTTCATGATCGACTCAATGACTGTAAGGTGCCCAGACTGCCCACGTCCTGTGGCTGTAGAACATGCCCAAATCATCACCCCTCCATCAGCGTGCTTGACAGTTGGTATGAGGTGTTTGTGCTGATGGGTTTTTGGCAAACGTGGCGCTGTGCATTATGGCCAAACATCTCCACTTTGGTCTCGTCTGTTCAGAGGACATTGTTCCAGAAGTCTTGAGGTTTGTCCAGATGCAACTTTGCAAACTTAAGCTGTGCTGCCAAGTTCTTTTTAGAGAGAAGAAGCTTTCTCCAGACAACCCTTATAAACAAGCCATACTTTTTCAGTCTTTTTCAAATTGTACTGCCATGAACTTTAACATTTAACAAACATGTCAACTGAGGCCTGTAGAGTCTGTGGTGCAGCTCTTGAGTTTTTTTGCAGTTTCTCTGAGCACCACACGGTCTGACCTTGGGGTGAATTTGCTGAGACGTCCACTCCTGGGAAGATTGGCAACTGTCTTGAATGTTTGAATAATCTTCCTCACTGTAGAAAGATTTCAAATTGTTTGGAAATGGCCGTACAAACCTTTTCAGATTGATGTGCAGCAAGAAATTGCTTCTCTAAGATCATTGCTGATGTCTTTCCTCCCTGGCATTGTTAACACACACCTGAATGCTCCAGACCAGCAAACTGCCAAAACTTCTGCTTTTATAGAGTTGGCCACACTTACTGATGATCAATTAATCAAAGGCATTTGTTTAGAATGGCCTGACTGCTACTTACCCTCTTAATTCCTATGGAAGCAGTAAGGGTGTACTTAGTTTGTCACACATGGCTTTTCCATTTTGACAGTGTTTGTTAAACAAATAATGACACTGTGTAATAGGTCATGTGTTGTTGTTCATCTGAGGTTGTTTTTACCTAATTTTAAGACCTGCCAAAGACCAGATGATTGTTTTATTATGTCCTCCTGATATGTAAAACCAAATAATTCAAAAGGGTGTCCTTTTTTTTTTTTAAACACATGACTGTATATGTGATTGGGAAAAAATGCAATAAAAAAAGCAAGCCAAGTGGGCTTGCTATTTTATTGTACTTCTACTCAAGCATAAATAGGCTATAACTTTCAGGGGAATATAAGGTCATTATTAGGTCAGTAGGTGGAGAGAAGGCGGTCTTTTGTGGCTGTTTCGAACGCATTCAACCACAGGAACGTTTAAACTACAAAAGCAATCCGGAGTATATACAGTTTTGGCTCAAAGAGCCATGGTGCTAGTAACACCAATTGGGCCATTGGTTTGATTGATCTGAATCTTGCATGCAAAAATGCTGAGCATCAAATGCAATAAAACTACGTTAATGTGTGTGTGTGTGTGTAAATCGATGGAGAACAACCCAAACAAACAAGTGTCTCATGAGACATATCCTCTACCAGGCCGTGAGGGCTCTTTATTAGAGTTCGAAGAAAAAGCAAACACTCCACTGTCTGTCAGCAGTCCAACAACTAAAGCAACACACACTTTCTCACATTTTCCCACTTGGGAAACTACTCCAAGTCTCTCTCTGACTCAGCTGATCAAACATCAGCCCAGGCACATGTTCTAAAACAACAATAACATCACCTAATTCCCTACAAATACATCATTTACCATCCCTGACTCCTTAAAGAACTGCGTAGGGCCGATCACTGGATGGATCAGGAACCATAAACACCTCCTCATAATCCCCTAGAGACTCTGCAGAGGAAGCTCATCAGCACCATTGTGGGCAAGCTCGTGCGGGCCACCCGCGACACGGATGGGAGGAGAGACATAAACGAAAGCTAGGGTGGGGTGAAACACACCATCACACACTCTCAGACATTCAAAGAGGGTTCATTAACACTCCCTGTTTGAACAGATGTCTACCTGACAAGATACACGTCTGGAGTAGAGAATAAAGACTGTATAAAAAATATCATCTTGCACCTGCAAACAGAACCAGCAGTAAAATCACCCAGATTTTTGTTTTTTTGAATCCAACTTGTACATATATTTTCAATGATACCCAATGTTCTCATTAAATCCCGTATTACTTTAAAAGAGATAACAATGATGTCTAACTTAGTAATATCAAGCAAGTGGATATGGATTCTTTCCGAAAACAAATAATTCAATGTCCTGCAATGTGTGTGTTTTTTTTTTGCAAACGGAATAATATAAAGTCAGTTGAAGGACATGAACCTACAGGTTATGACTGACGTTAGACCTGTGTATGCACTGAGGCATCCAAGGATAGAAAGGTGCACTCCAGACCTGATTTCCATGTCAGGTTTGTATTCAAATTTAATAAGTTCTTAGAAATGCCAGACTAAAGTCAACACCACCTTGACATTCTATGGTTAGTCCCAGAAAATAAACTGTGCAAGAGCATCCAGATTAATAATCTACAGTTTACAGTTGAATTGAAACCAAGTACAAAATTGCATCGAGATCTTTTTCCCTTGCCTTGGGCATTTGAATCAGGTCTAACTCTCAGTGACACCCATGTGCGTCTCCATTACAGTCCAGCTCTTCCACCTGGCAGACTGACAGTCAAGTTCACGTTCAGCCGGCTGAGCCTGCGGCTCTCAGGAGCGGGACTGATGGTTCTTCGTCTGTCATCTGCTCTCTCTCATAGCTTTAGAGAAAAGGGAGGATTTTTTGAAACCCATCTACCCGTTACATCATTAGGACATTATTGTGACAGGTTTTAAAATAATATATACATTAAAAAAATTCATTATTGCATTATATGCAAAATGTCAAACCAGTTGGGATTTTAAACATTTTCAAGGAAAAACATTAAAGAAAGACCATATTGTTATAAACCATAAACAACATATACAATCATATATATATATAATTTATTCCTGTGATGTCAAAGCTGTATCTCCAGTCTTCAGTGTCACATGATCCTTCAGACATAATTCTAATATGCTGATTTGGTGCTCAATTATTAATAATGGTTCTGATTTTCAATGTTGAAAATAGTTTTTGCTGATTCATATTTTGGTGTAAAATCAAATTTAAAACAAAATTTGGTGCCTTTATTTGAAATAGAGATCATTTGTAACATTATAAATGTCTTTTTTTGTCTCTCTCGAACACACACACTTTGTGATTGTCAAAAGTTGTCAATTGTCAATAATATGATACCGGTAATTAATAAATAAATTACACCTGTGCAAACTTGAGAGGAACTGACTTCATACATCTTCTAAAAACTTACCTTGACACTATGGTGCTTGACAGCAAAACACAAAAAAAGACTGAGAAACTGTGTTGTTTAAGTGTCCAAATACTTTTAGTGCCACATCAGAGGCTGTCTCATAAAAAAAGATAAACATTTATCCCTCTTGTCCAGACATTAGCATGCAGGTAAAGTGAGAGCCCCTCCATGTACTCCCCTGGCAATTGTTCGGAAACTTGAAGTCAAAGGTCACATGTGCACCTGCGTCTTAGACCAAACACTGAATTTGCCACCAACAGAGATCTTTCAACTCTTACTGCTTAAGAGGTGCTGCTCCTTCATTCCCGAGGACACCAGCAGAGGAATTCCACAATCCACACAGAGAAATTAGGCCAAGTCATGTATCTAAATATACTGGATAGCTTTTCAGGAGGTAATAACTTATGAGCATCCAAGTAGGAAAGTCAACACATATGAAACAAGTATTAAATCTGCAAAAAAAAAAAAATCAAATCAAGGGTTGCCATATAGGGACTACTGTTCTAGGTGGATGTGTTACCATTGTAATCACTGTGGATGGATGTTTTATATTATATACTTACCATTATACATACTTCTTGATATACATGTTTCTTGAGCAGCAAATCAGTATATTAGAATGATTTCTGAAGGATCATGTGTGGATAAATTACATATTTAAATAGAAAACAAACCATTAATTTAGTTTGCAAATAATATTTCAGAATATTACTATTTTAACTATATTTTTCATCTAATAAATGTAGCCTCGTTGAGCATATACTTCTTTAAAAAACATAAAAACTTCTAAATAACCCCAAACTTCTGAATGATATAGTGAGTGCATTTTTTTATATAAACCAGACAAAAAAAAAATTCCTGCTAACCCAGACCATTCATTTATTAGAGTTTAGAGATAAATAATTGAAATCACACAGACATCAGCTTTATGCATGCCAAGGAATTTCCTGCACTGCGAATTTATTGGAAGCTGAGGAACAAAATGGACCGGGGCAGTCAGACTGCTGTCAATAAAACTCCATACGTGTTCAGGTGCGTTTCAGCAGAAACTTTCAAAAACAAGAGCTCAAATTCAGTTAAGAGCAAACCAAAATACATTCTAGTGTCCATCAAAAGAAATAACTCAAACCAATTCATATTAATTTAATGACTCAGAAGGACCTCTTAATAGAATCTGATTTAAATGACACTCAGGCCATGTGATCTGCAAGTGTAAGGCATTGTTGACTAGATAATACTAATGCTGGGCAGAAAGGACTGGGTGTCTTTCTAAAGCTCTCATACAGATCTATGCGGCGTCCCCTAGAGACCTCAAAACTATTTCTAGAAGTTGTGGAGGGGCGGTGATCTCCAACCTCAAAACTTTGGAACAACTGCAGGAGCATTTCCCACAAGTGCTGACGAAATGCCACCGCCAAATATTACAAAAATACCTCTAACATAGATATCTTTCATTATCTCCGAGTGCTAATTCATCCAGAGAAGGCAATAAATTACTGTACAGGTCTACATTCTGCCATAAACAATGATTTAAATGACATTTAAAATCCCAATTTGAATGTACAGATACGTCTTCAATTGTGCGCATTGGTTTCGGCTGGGTATATTAAAAATTTTGTTTCAGGTTTGCTCTTCTGGGTACTGTTTAGATGAAAAAAAAAAAAAAAGGAATTGGAGAAGTCTAGAGACTCTGATGCCCACCCACACATTTAAAGGACCGCCCCCTCATTAGCATATCAAGTCTGAAGAGGCCTCTGATGCCCTCTTGTGGGACTCACAAAGATGTTTTTTTTTTTTTTTGAGCTGTCACAGTGAAAACTTAGGTCATGATTATTAGCTGAATTATACAGGAAAGTATTAAATGCTGAATGAAAAGAAGTAAACAGACATGAGTTTTCCCGACTCTATATGTGCGTATCGTTTATTAAATCAGTCCATTTGCAGCTCGAGTGCTTATCAGGTTGGTCTTGCCAGTTACTTCTCTCCGTCCCTCTGGATCCTGCGCTTCTCGTGCTGGTGTTTGGTGATAATGTACTTGAAGAACTCGTAGACGGACCAGCTGATGGCGGTCGAGGGCATCTGGTATATGACCCTGGCCTGAACGCCTTTGAAGTAAGCGGGCAGGCCGCCAAGCCTGTAGACAGTCCGGAAGGCATGGCCGAGGCCTGAGATGTGTCTTCCGCTCTGGCTGACGGAATCGAGAGCCAGAGACTCCTGCGTGTTCAGCAGCGTCTTGCAAACGTCCAGTGGCGTTGTGGCGGCGGCGGCGATTGCTCCCGCCAGCGCGCCCGACACCATGTGGGACGAGGGGTGGCATTGTCTTTGGGGGTTCAACAGCTCTTGCAGGTATTCGTAGGTCATGAAGTGCAAAGCCTGGAAGGGCACATTCATGGTGAGCTGCGTAGTGTAACTGCGGTAAAAGGCCAACATCCCCTCCCGCTGCCACACACAGCGCATACAGTCCAGGACGCCACGGTATGGCGAGTTATACATCTGCATCCTCTGCTTCACCACTGAACAAGGGGAGGTCATCGCAGTCCGTCAGACAGGAAACAAAAGAGGACAGGAAGGGGGACGTTAATCAAGTGCGTGAACAAGTCATGATTGAAATACAGTAAGGCCCATCAAAGGAGAAATGTCCCGTTTCATCCGGACGCGGATCAAACGAGCCTCCTGTGTGACCTACAGTCGAGCGGTCTGCTGGGAACAGACCAGAAGGAGAGCAGGTGTCTACGCAAGGTCTCAGTCTGGCACCTGCGCTGTTAACCTTGAGCCTCAAGAGCGCAGAAACAGACACTGCAGTCTGACTGAGACTCGGGCCACTGGGGGATTACGGCTAATGCTACCGTTTCAACATCGCACAGCTGTTAATTAGAGCAAGGCCAATCTGCTCTCACAAGGATGTGCTTTGGAAATGTGGTTTTTTTTTAGGGAGAGAGAGTTTTGTAGTGAATTTAGATCTTTTCTGCCACCTCCTGGCTGGGAGTGCACAGATAACTTCCAGACCAAGGGGGTTTAGGTTTGCTGATCAATTTGTGCATTATTTGGAGGGGAATATTGCACAGGATGTGGAATAAAGTTTTTTTTTTTTATTTTTTTTTTTATAAAATACAGAAAAACGTTTTTTTTTTTTTTTTTTAAACCAAACAAAACAAAAATAATAGACTAATTGATTACCAAATTAATAATAAGCCACAGTCCTACTAATTAGAATGGGACAGCTACATTATCTGGTTGCAAAAATCATCTTTCAAAATCATGGCATGTGCCCCAAAAATGTTATTGCCATTACATGAAATAAATCAAACATATAAAAAACAAACAAAAAAAAACAAAAAAACAACAACTAAGAGGACCCATACAAGTAAAAAAATAAAAAAACATCCATGTAAACTAGATACAGATGCAAAGTAGAACAATAAACATACTACCATTCAAAAGTCTGGGGTCATTAACATTTTTAAATGTTTTTGAAAGTGTCTTTAAAGTATGCCCATTAAGGCTGCATTTATCTGGAAAAAACAGTAATATTATGAAATATCACAATATATATATATATATATATATATATATACATACATACATATATATATATACACATAGGGATGCACCAATAGAATTTTTTGTGCCGATACCGATTTTAACAAACTATTGGCTGATTCCGATAATCGTCACTTGCTCTCTTATTTGAACTTTTGCCATTAAAATATAGATTAGTGTTTTGATCATGTTTTAAATTAGCATGCATTAAGGTGTCCTAGCTAGTTTATTGCTGCATCATAAAATAATTTCTATTGAACATGGATTTGATCCATTTAACATTCAACAGGCCAACATAAATTCATAAATACAACAGAACAAAGATGCATATGAAATAAATAGCGCTTTTCAGATAGATCTAACAGTAGTTTTCAGGTACAGAAATTAAGTAATCAAATGTCAAATATATTATTCATTAAATAGATTAAATATACATTAATCTTTATTAGTTATTTAGTTAATAGTGAGTGATTTTTTTGTCTTTTACATTGGATGTGCACACAAAACTTTTCACAGTGAATAGAATTGAGTGCTCTTTTTACACTATTCTTGCACTTGGATATTTAAATTTCCAAGGCTTAAAAATATGTGCAATACATCGGTGCATCTCTAATAAAATCAATATTGAGAACAGTTGTGCTGCTTAGTATTTTTGTGGCAACCATTTTTCAGGATTCTTTGATGAATAGAAAGTTCATAAGAACAGTATTTATTTGAAATACAAATATTTTGTAACATCACAAATGTCTTTAGTGTCACCTTTGATCAATTTTAATGCATCTTTACAGAATAAATGTATACCTACCAGAAAATTAAATCTTACTGACCCAAACTTTTGAATGGCAGTATATACAGGAAGACCTTTTTAATAGAAAGTGAAGATTAAAGCTAATATACCTTCAGCTGGATTCATGGCAGCATCATGAAGCAATGTGGCAACACATCCAGCTGTCCCTGTAACACAGACCCTCAGACATTAACACCAAAATTAGGGCATGCACACAGTGGACAGTCACTGGAATCAAAATACAACAATCAGATATACAGATGGATCAGATCCCAGTCAAACAAAAACTGTTCAAAAAACCTGAACAGCCACCAAATACCCCCCCATGATTTAACAGAGAGATTAGGGATTGACTGGATAAACTCTGGGGAATGTGGAGTTAGGAGAGAAAGAGTCTTTTGTTCAGAATACTGGCAATTACTTCACTCATCGTGACCGTTTTACGGTAAAAAGCAAAAACTGCCGCTGCTACTTCTGAGAATACAAGCAAAATACAGAGATGCTAACAGGACATGAGGCATTTTCCGGCAAATCATGATCCAAAAAAATTATAATATGATGCCAAAATTATTTTTATCCCTTTTCTGTGTATTCTACTGGTAAACGGTAATATGCCAGCTGTTACTTACCACCCTTTCACCCTGACCTGGAGGAAAGAGAAAGAAAAGAGACACTACACAGCAACACCAACAATGACTTTTACCATGAGCTCCGCAATGTTGAGTCTAAGGCCGAGATTTACTAACAGCTTGCGCCAGCACAAATCCTCTTTTGGCGTTAAAAAACTACTGTCAGTCAGGATTTACTAAAGACACGCTGTGAGAAATTAGCGATGAAAAGGCGCCGTGGACACAGTTATACTTGTGCTTGACCTTATTGCATATGCATTTGTAGGAGTTTCCATGTCAGACCACAAAATTCATAGGCAGAGAGTATTTAAAAGAATCATGCAATGTGATTTACTAAGGCTTGCAGTTAGGGATGGCCCGATACCGATACTGGCATCGGGGATCGGGTCGATACTGTCCTCATATACTCGTACTCGTACTCATAAAAATTCGCCGATACCACGCACCGATACCACGTACATTTTGCAAAACGAAACTGGCCGCCGCGAGTGCTTTGTTAAGGTGAACTGAGGCATAGGAAAGTATAATGTCGGCGGTTTGGGCTCATTTCAAGATAAGGGGTGATGACAACAGCAATGCAGACTGTGAGTTATGTTCAGCTAAGGTGTCGAGAGGAGGGAAAGAAAGTACATCGTTTAACACCAGCAATCTAATTAAACATCTGAAGACGCATCATAGATCTGATGGCCGAGCGCGCGCGCGGGCGGTAATGCACTCACTCTGTGTGTGCGGGTTACGGGAGAATAAAACGATTCGCGGGACTCCCGCAAACTAGAAATATCTATGAATAAAACATAAAAACTAAAAGATTTTTATTCATCTCTTGCAGAAAAGCAACAAGAACAACTACAACAAAATAGAAACGATTTACAGGCCAGAGTTTCTATTCATAACATGGTTACAGCGTTGAGCGATGTAGCCAATCACAGACATATGTGTTGATTTCTGGAACGCAATGGCCAATCAGAAGCATTTAAGATAGACTCCCCTCACCGCTCAAATCGGACTTTTTTGTTCAGTGCTGAATTCTGTATGCTGGCAAATCCTCGAATTATAACAAACAAAGTGTGGATATTATGAAAGATTGATTGTGCAGTCAGCTTCATTGATAATAACAGAGATGTGTGAGATCGCGATGAACTGTCAGCTTTTAGGATTTATTAAGGGAGCGCACTTTGCGCGCATTCAGTCATGCCAGACCATGCACGCAGTAGCCTGCTTTGTTTTTATGTTAAATTAACAGTGGTTTGTGTGTTAATACATTTATTATTTTACTAATTTTTATTTATTTTTAGACTTGTTAAAACAAGCAGAGAAGAAAATAAAAACAGTCTTCTAACCTGTGTTCTAAAATAGTCGTCTTCTTTTCTGGGAGCCTATTACTTTTGCGGTAGAAATATCGGTATCGGTACTCGGTATCGGCAAGTACACAAATGTAAATACTCGTACTCGTATCGGTTTGAAAAAAAATGGTATCGGGCCATCCCTACTTGCAGTAGTAAATTTTCTGGTATTTTCACCATTATTTACCCTAAAAAAAAAGCATGTATTTATTCACCCTTATGTAGTTCAAAACCAGTAAGATTTTTATTTATCTTTGGAACACAAATTAAGATCTTTTTGATGAAATCTGAGAGCTTTCTGTCCCTCCATTGACAGCTACGCAACTACCATTTGACTCTTCAAAAAGTTAATAAAGAGATTGTAAAACTAATCCATATGAATTGAGCGGTTTAGTTAAAATTTTCTGAAGAGACTCGATCACTTTATATGATGAACAGATTGAATTTAGGCTTTTATTCACATATTTTATTTATTCATCAACTCACACATCATCAGTTGTGGTAAACGGAAGCTTGACATGCAAGAACCAATGGGTTTCATTCTCGTGTTACGCATCACGTTTGAGCTTCCGCAAGAACCAATGAGGTTTGTTCTCAAGTATCAAGCAAGTATGGTTGAGCTTCTGTTTATGTTCGCTAATCAACAATTTTTACATGTGAATAAAAGCCTAAATTCTATCTGTTCTGTTCATCCTATAAAGCGATTGTCTCTCTTCAGAAAATTTGCAACTAAACTGCTCGATTCATATAGATTAGTTTAACAATCTTTTAATAAAATTTCTTCATTTGCATTTCGAAGATGAACGAAAGTTTTATGGGTTTGGAGCGACATGAGGGTGAGTACTGATGACAAGCTTTTTTGTTTTTATTTTTGGGTGAGCTAACCCTTTAACAGATTTTGCACCTGACATGACTGGATTTGCACACTCTCAGTAGATCACCTGCAGAACTTTCCACTCCCACCGGCGCTTTTATTAGATTGCGGCCACGTGCTCCGTTTAGTAAATCTGGCCCTAAGGATGCTTTCACACTTGGTTCGATTGCCTGGTCCAAACCAGAGTTCGATTGCTCCCCCCTCCCCCGATGGATTGTGTTCACATTATATTATTTGGGTCCAAACTGCGGTGCATTTGCATCAAAAGAGAATTCCGCTTGTCAGGAAAGTGAGTGAGCTCTCACATAAAAAAAAAAAAACAGTTTTATCGAATCATCATGTGCATCAAAAGTGCTAGTGTGAGAGCACCCTAAGTCTAAATATCCACTACAACACAATTTGATAAATGCAATAATAAAACATAAATCAATCACTTATCAATAAACTAGTGTTCCATTACTATGCACAATTTAAGCTTTATAATTAGGCCTAACACTTTTCATTATACGGGCATACAGCAGGTCAGTTTAGCTTGTGTATTGACATTAATAATAATAATAATTCATTACATTTATATAGCGCTTTTTCTGGGACCTCAAAGCGCTTCACAAATGGAAGGGGGGAAGACATTACATTAGCTTTAGCTTTTAAGATAATTCCAATAATGTTAATTAGTTACTTGGCTTATATGGTACACACTGAGCATTAGAAATGCTATTCAGATCAGTTTGTCCTAAAGTTTTACATTGCATTTGCACTGATTTGTCAGACTAAATATTCTACCTGATGGTAAATCATTAAAACAAAAATAAAATTAAGCAATAAAAAATATTCATTATTCATAGCATGTTCAAAGATTAACTACCCATATGATCTTCTCTTATACATACACTATATAGCTGCTGTCGTGATATCGGAGAATGGCATTTTTGGGATTTGACCTCATCACTACTAGAAAGACGTTTTAAAGAGGTCAGGTGAGAAGACATGGGCAGATGTTTGAGAAATATCTGATTCATACAAATAACAAAGCCACAGCCAAATAACTAGTTCCAGAATGTTGTCCATTGCTGAACTTAAAGGGATACTCCACTTTTTTTGGAAATAGGCTCATTTTACAACTCCCCCAGAGTTAAACTGTTGAGTTTTACCGTTTTTGAATCCATTCAGCCGATCTCCGGTTCTGGCGGTACCACTTTTAGCATAGCTTAGCATACATCATTGAAGTGGACAAGACCATTAGCAGTTCTCAAACAAAAATCACCAAAGTGTTTCGATATTTTTCCCATTTAAAACTTGACTCTTCTGTAGTTATCAAGAAATAATCAAGAAAATTTACTGCCGTACCATGAGAGCAGCAGGCGTAATGATATGACGCAGCGCCTGAAAATAGTTCCGTTGTGTTGACGGAAGGTAGCCTATTTTCAGGCGCTGCGTCATATCATTACGCCTGCTGCACTCATGGTACGGCAAGTTTCTTGATTATTACGCAGGAATGAGAGTATAGTTCCTAGCCATATCAGCCTAGAAAATCGCAACTTTACATTTTCCGTCGGTCTTAATGCACGATGTAACTACAGAAGAGTCAAGTTTTAAATAGGAAAAATATCGAAACTCTTTGGTCATTTTTTTTGAGAAATGCTAATGGTCTTGTCCACTTCAATGATGTATGCTAAGCTATGCTAAAAGTGGTACCGCCAGAACCGGAGATCGGCTGAATGGATTCAAAAACGGTAAAAGTCAACAGTTTAACTCTGGGGGAATTGTAAAATGAGCCTATTTCCAAAAAAAGTGGAGTATCCTTAAGGCTGTGTTTACACCTGGTATTAAGATGCGTTCTGGTCGATCGGATCACAGGTAGACGAGGGAGACTCATTCCCGTTTACACCTGGTGTTAAGATGCGTTCTGGTCGATCGGATCACAGGTAGACGAGGGAGACTCATTCCCGTTTACACCTGGTGTTTTAATCCGTCTCTTCTGTCAACTTTCGACCACTTCTGGACTTCTGTCCTGATTTCTTTGAGGGGAGGGTCTATAGGTGGGTAAATGTATGGGCTTTTTCAGATCTTTCGATCTAATGGAAAAAATAAGTTCACGCAATTTTCATATTAATGCAAAAGGAGATGACAGAAAAACAGCTTTCATTCTGCTCTGTCAGCAGCAAGTCCACGCTGAACGCGATGAGCGCCTGTTAGAAATCAGGAATGGTGAGATAACATTGTGCTTGGTGCGTTTTTCAAACCAAACTTGGGTCTTAAGACAACAGTTTAAATCCCGTCTGGCTAGCGCGCTTCCCTTAATGTTTACGCGTTAGGTCAGTGGGCGGAGTCTTTTGCGGCTGTTCTAACACATGAGAGTTTACACTGCGAGAGCAATCCGGTTGAATGCGTTTTTGGCTCCCTCTGGAAGTGGTCGAAAGTGGGCAAGCTCAAAAAGTTTTAGACCCATTTTACACAAGTATTTAACGTCGTCCACTTGTGACCCGATCTACCAAAATGCATCTTGATACCAGGTGTAAACAGGGCCTTAGTTACTTTAGTAACTTTAGTTACTTTGGACACTACCAATGCATCTAATATGGTACTACAGTTAATTTGAAAAGGCCTTATGAAAAAGCAAAAAAGACCTCAACTTAACACATTTACTGATTGCCCTACGTAGAAATGCATGCCAAGTAACGGTCTAGAATTGTGGGTGTGCTGGTAAGAGGAAATCAGCAGTGCTGATGGGCAGGGAAACTGGTACCGTTCGCCAAATGACTGTTTGCTCCTGGATGGATGATATCACTGAGGACCTTTTTCAATCTTTCATAACAGGCAAAGTAAAGTGCGTGGGCAGGCCCCGCCCCTACAGCTGTAACATTCAGGCCCCTGATTGGCCTCCAGATTCCCTCTGTCCTCACGATTTGCCGCAAAGCGTCCATCACGTTACGGTAGCGGGCAGCTGGCTCTGGCTGAAGGCTCTGCATGCGTGTCTGCAACAAAAAAGCAATTGTTTACTTACAAGCCCCGGAATGTAGATTAAGCTATTAGTATAAATACAAATATTAATGTAGATTTTTAATTCAGACCTGCTGATACTTTCTTTGTCCCACGCAAAAACAAAAAGCCAAGTTTTTAAGCAACTTTTCATATTTTTCATTACCTTTATAAGCTACAACAAAACAGATATATTATATATTTAATCTGCGAAAATAGCTGGAAATAATACATCTCAATCTCTGCCTGGCGTGGGTAAAATGATTATAATGGTGATGGTGAGGTACAATTCATATTTCTTCATTAACTTAATTTACTGAAAACTTTCTGTGAGTCGTAAGTTCACAAACAGCGTGAGTAAATCACCAGAGCAGTGATTCTCTCTCTCTCTCTCTCTCTCTCTCTCTCTCTCTCTCTCTCAAAATGCGCAAATGTCTTCACATCACCACTTCACGTCTGCGCCATAAGCGAGCTGCACACTTGACAGGAATTGTGACTTGGACAATCGAGGCAGTGTTGCATCGTCACTAAAGTTTATATTTAGAAATTTTCTTGCCAGTGTTTAAACCACTGAGCACTCGCACGCTCTCCTAGAGACGGAGCGCTTATGCACAGTCAAAGCAGACATGCATAAGGCCGCCTCACAAACAGCTTGCAAGTAGCAAATTGCGCTTAAATGTCAAATCCACACAAATGTCAAATACACACAAATACAAAATTACCGTCTTAACGAGTATGCTATGCACAAACAGTCATGTTTGTCGTAAGTGAATGTAAACAGTTGTGTAACTGCATCTGTAACAGTATATTGGATCCGTGCATTCGGTCTTAAAGTGACAGCAGCCTAATAATCCTGCTGCTGCCTCTGATTTTTTCTGTCTTTTATTGTGTGATGGACATTAATGACGTGCTGCTCTTGAATGACTAACTTTTGTAACGTTAATTGCAAGGATTAATGTATTTAGTTTACTCAGGGAAGAGTATTTTACATTTGATTCCTTATTAAATTTCTTTAAAATGTCTTACTTCAATACTACTGTTGGACCTACCTGAAAAAAAACCTTAAAGCACTGTTTATTTTATTTGTATCTTTATTCTATTTTAGTTATTTGTGGTATTCCTTGTAAATTGTTTATTTGTTGTTTTATTACTGACTGTTGACTTGTCTTTTTTTGTGAATTCAATTCAGAGTTTAAAATCAGGCAAAATTAGCCTGGGAAAACCCAGACAACTTCCGGCAAATTTAGATTTGCTCTGAAAGTTAGTCTGGCAAAAAGCTCATTCAAGCCCATTTCCAATCCGTCGAAATCGCGGCACCAATCAGAAACGTTGGGGCGGGCTTTACACGATGACGACAGCGCTGGGATTTTGAAGCAGATTTTGTAGCCTACATTACAAAGATGGATGCCGCCGTCGAACATCACTCGTTCGAATCAGCTATCGCGTCTGTTTTAAGCGATTTGAACGTTTCCTTTTAGTTAAAAACCGAGCAAAGAACAACACTCGGAGATGTTTCTCCTCCGCTCTGCATACGTCATCTCCTTCATCGCTCTGATTGGGTTTAGGTCTATCCGCGACGTCCGCTGGTGACGCCCCTCTGGAAATGATTCGTCTATGACGCTTTACCAGACCATAACTCAGTTACAACTGAGAATGGTCTGGTTTTAACCAGGCTAAGGCAAAATACTACCTTGCTGACATTAAAATCAGCAGGATTTGCATAATTGTATAGGTTGGTGGTGATTCCCCTTGGATGGAATTGCATTCCGGTGGGGGAGAGTGTATTCCCCCTCGGTTGAAATCACGGAGGGCCCCACGAAAGCCCGAGAATCGCCACCACCTTTCTCCCTTCTAGCCACGGCCCTGAGGGCAAGTGTCCCAAAATGTACTTATTTATTTATTTATTATCTCAAGCCTGCAAAAAAGTGATATCAATGTAACAAAATTTTTTTGTTAATAAGTACGTATAAGGTTTACAATTAATGTAAATCAATTTAAAATAGACCATAAAAACAGTAGACCGCAAAAAATAAAACAAACATGATTGAATAAAGCCTTGCAAACATGCATTACAACGCTGAGTCATTGGATCTGTAGATCAGAACCGAAGTTTGTAGCAATAAGGTCACACAGGGACTTAATCTAACCTAATCCTCTTTTCCTGCAGCGCTACTGTATCACCTGATGTACAACAGAAACATGGATGCAAAGCAGTGCCTGAAGCTGACTGAAACACTGAAGCAGAAACACTGACTTTCAACAGGAAGGAAACAAAATGTTGGAAGCAGCCAGTAATGCACAACATGTTTAGTAGGTTTACTTTGTGAACTTTAGACTACCACAAAAGTCATGTTTGTATTGACATGGTCAGATTTAGAGTAGCTGAACATATAAGTTCAGAACAGCAGCTGCAATGTGGTGAAATTTGAGATCATGGCAGCAGTGGTTGCATGAGTAGTATTATACCTGTAAGGAAACAGTACTTCCATTATAAAAGGCCCGGGAAATAATTATATTTGCCAATAAATGTGCGTAAATCATATCTAAAACCAGTTCCTCGTGACAGGGGAGTGAGGAACTGCAACCTCCGACAGGAAGTTCCAAGATTGCTCTTGAAATGCTCAAGATTGCAAAATAGTCTAAAGTACAGAGATTAGATCTGTAACAGCGCAAAACAGAGAACTGATCTTTTATTACAGCAAAGGAAATTATTTAATTTCCATTAAGAAACAGCGTACTAAGATTAAGTAAAAAAAGAATTCCCTTCCATACATTTTTATTCATTTGTGATTACTGAATTTTATGTTTTTATAGTGAAGCATAATCAAAAGAAAATTTATTTTAGATTCACAACTCGCATTTGATGAACAAAGCCACTTTCAAAAAAGGTGAATACATAATATTGGTTTAAAAAGAAAGTAGATCTCTGTACTAATTAAAGTAACTAACCAATTTAATTTTGGAGGGAAAAGCCTGTGCTATAATCTCTATGTACAATACATCATTTTTAGATTCTTCTGCTGAAATCATGTTTTTTTTTGTTTTTGTTTTTAGTCAATGATGGACTGAACAGGTGCTGTAGTTACTTCAATGTTCTACACTTTGTTCTAATTCTCTCCTCTAAACAGGGGCAATGTGCAGTGTGCCACCCTGTGTGTTCAGTGATTTAAACTTAACCTTTGACTGAAGTGTAAATCCTTCTACGTTTACCTTCCCCAATGACTCATAGTGGTGTGAATCAACCTCAGCTTGGAATTTACATGTTTTGCAAAGATACACAGACCGAAAAAAAATTAACAGGAAAATACTACAACCAATTTTACTACTAACATATTTCAAAATTAAGCTATTCATCCAACAAGAAAAACGTGGCGCGAACTTGATTTGATAGATTGATATATTAAAAACGGACTGCACCATAATACGTGATCTCTGATCAGTAGATGAAGAGAATTTTACATTTTTGTAAAAATGTGTGGCAGTTGGAGCATTGTGGCATTCTGAGCATATGAAAATTTGAGGAAAAAAGCCCAACATGTAGGCTATGGCAAATATTTATATTTAGGGTTAAAAAAAAATACATGTACATATATACAAAACAGATTTGTGTTTTCTAGATTCACAATCTGGACTGGCTAACTTAGGAGAGAACAGCTGCAAAAGACATGATAAAGTGTCTTTGTCTGTAAAGAACCCTTCACATTATCCTGACAAGAGCAGCTGAACACTCAAAGCAACTTCCTTACAGTTTGCCAAAGGCATCCTGATCAGTGCATTCACACCTCACAACGTTCAGATTGCAGGTAAATATGGCCCAACAAATCGGAGTTTTTTGCTCATATGTGACTCGTATCTGCTTTTCCCATAACATTGTGAATGGCACAAACCACATCAAGTCTCATCTCTTCAATTCCGGTTTTGGACCACTTCCATATGGCTATGTTTCACAGACTGTCAGTCCAAATCTGATTATTAGTCTACCTGGTCTAAATTATTGACTGTCCAGACTGTGTATCGAAACTGTTTGGGTCTGATTTGCATGTCCCGTGGCGCTCTTTCATTTTCCAGAATATCTGCATTGGTTTCTACAGCAATGACCTTGCGTTAGTGGGCATACGCCATAAACAAGCTAATTTCTGCAGTGACTTTCAGCATATTTACTATAACAACGTCTGATGTGTACGCTTCACGTGGCGTGATAAAGTGACAAACCACGCTGAATCCCATTAGAGCACTCAGAGTGAAACTTGAAAACAGAAATGCAATTTGAATAAGATTTCAAACCATTTATGAATGTAGCTCGTAAAAAATATCGCATTTCGTGTGATTTTTTTTAAGGCCTGTTCACACCGGGACGAATTTCGCGCGCGATATTCGCTGACGTTTATCGCCTCGTGACTAAACAAAGGGCGCCAATGTGAGTGTGCACACCGACACAAAAAACGCCACGCGTAAAAGCGTCATTTTTAAAAAAAACGCCTCGGGTTCGTTTTTTTAGTTTGACGCGCCGCATCAAAAACTATCCGACCAATGAGATTGGCGCTTTTGCTCAAGTGTCTGGAGCTTCTGAAGTAACAGTAAAACACAACTTGGGGGCGCTCAAACACAAAACGGTCTTGCTGAGCACACATACGTAACGGCGAAGAAGATATACGCCAAGTAGCGTCTACACTGCCGGGAAGAAATAAGACGAGGAAGATGCAAGGCAAGATGAATGTAGAACTGCTGGTCTCGTTGGTGTCGGAACATAAAGAACTATATGACAAACGCGACAGCGACTACATCTAAATCTTAATTAAAGAGAATGTTATGGAGTGGTATTGCAGAGCAAATGGGCGCCATCTAATGTCAGGGAATGAATTTGCATGTTCACTCGGCTCATCGTCAGCGAAAATCGCTTGGGTGTGAACACAAAAAACGCGCTGAAAAACGCTGCCGAATAACGCGCGCCGATATTCGTCCCGGTGTGTACGAGCCTTTACACTTGCTAAATATGATCGGATTCCAATCAGATATGCACAAAAATCGGATTTGGACTGACAGTCGGAACAAGGGTTTAGTGGTCCTAAATCTGATACAGGGTCAGATGTTTTGCAATGTGACTTCAGTCTGAACAGTCAAATCAGAATTCATGCAACTTTTACATTACTCTAGAAGATTGACATTCATCACAATTCATGGGAGTCAGATTTTACCCACCCAGTCAGTCCAGGACCATGATCTGTTCGCACTGGAATCTGATATTGACCACATTTAAAACAATGTCAACAGCTATACAAAAAAAAAAAAAAAAAAACGTAATTCAGCACTAAGGCTGTGAATCTAAGTGTGAATGTAGCCTTATAGTTTTCATGCAGCTTCCATAACATATGATGTGACAAATGACAGTGTCCTGTTCAGGGAAACAGTGGTTTTAGAGTAGGAATTAGGGCTGGGTATTGACACAAATTTCATGATTTGATTCAAATTGATTTTGATTCCCAAGCTTTTTCAATTCTGAGTACAATTGAATTTGATATTGATTCATGTAGATAGGCCTATACGTCATCAGGTACAGTAAGGGTTTTTGTATAATAACAACGTTAGAATAATACATTTAATGACATAATTATGTTTCTACTCCAATTAGTTTTATATATATATATATATATATATATATATATATATATATATATATATATATATATATATATATATATATATATATATAAACATTTAATTGGTGGCTGTCAAGAAACTTGTTTTGACAGATTTCTTCAAACATACATTAGGCTATATAGCTACTTTAGAACAGGTTAAGTAAAAAAATAAGGAATATATAATGCATACATTTAAAAAAATGCTTCTCTCTAGACTTCATTTCTCTAGCTGACGATCAAGTTTATAGACATAAATGGCTTTTCTGAGGTAAATGTAAAGTCGCATGACACTGTTTACAAGTTTTTTTATTGATGTCTTTCTGTGATTGAAACACTGACTGAGCGATTATATTAGACATGAAACGTATTTCGGTAAGCTGTGCCATTTCTTTCAACATACCTTCTGATGTTCATTCAAGTTAATTTCATGCTATAACTAGTAAAGAGGAAGAGATGATCAGTTTGCCGCTTGAACTGAGGCTCTACAGCGATCTGCCACGCCACACTAAAGAGCGCCACACAATATTTGTTTAAATTTTGTGATAAAATTGACAGAATTTGAAAGCTGAGACTTTGTTTCATTGCAAAATTAACAAAGCTTACTGCGATGCATTGAATGGAAAGCACGCTACAAAGTTGTGTATTTATCAAATGAAAACAGCACTTAAGATCTATTCCACATCATGGGATCATCAAAATCTGAATTTATTAAAATCGAGAAACCCAGCCCTATGCATTCTGATATCGGTCTAGTCATAGAACTAGAGCATATCACAGATCTGCTGTGGTGCATATAAAAAAAACAATTATATTTAGTTAGTGTACTGTCTCTATGGTAACCTTTAACTTAAAAGACAAACAAATCTAAATACAGACCATATTTGAACTACAGCGGAATCAATGCGCATGCGCACTAGCCCAGAGCAGCGTCAACATGGTCATGTGGTTCAAGAGCGGAGCCACGTGTGGCCTTCTAATCTCATGTTCATGTTTCATAAATAATGACACCTCGCAGAACGAAAGCTACTACAAACACTCCCAACCACAGGATGCAATTATATTACAAAAAAAAAATATATATATAGGCAAGTTGCTGCTGGAATTACATACTAAGGACTTTAGTTAGTTATTACCAGATTAGCCCAGACAGATCTTGATGTTTAAGAGATTACAGAACTACAAATGAGCATTACCATTAATAACCGCAAGGACGGTGAAGTGCAGTAGTAAAGTTTATAAGTACAAAAACTAAAATCTGAGAAAGGACGTGAGGGAAATTACAGTCTGAAAAGTATGTAGTCTGTAAAATACAGATGAGATCACAGAGGGGAAACTAACTCGACCTTGCCATCTTGCTGTATCTTTCAAGGGCCTGCTGGTCACATCAGTCCTGTTAATGAAATCTTTTAAAATTCTTTATAAAACGCTCATCTCTCATTTATTTACCTTCACACAATCAATAGGGAACATCAGGCAATGCTCCATGATTCCAGCCACTGCTCCAGCAAACATGTGCGTGCTGGTGGAGGCGCCCTGGGGCAAACCCTCATAGTCCGGTTCCGAGAGATCAGTGGCCTCTTGGGAGCCATAGAAATGTCCAACATGAAGCTCCGGTTCTGCTGCTAACCGAGGTGTCAAAGTGCCAACGAGACTATCCGAAACACCCCAGAACCTGCCGCCGAGCCAGTGTATCTCCGCGCCCGCGGAAGCTCCGGCCACCGCGGCATCGCCGCCCGATGTGTCCGCTGTCATCCGCCGCCTGCGCACAAAACCATCCGCTTCCATTTGTAGCACCTTTTCCTTTAAAATCATGCGTCCCACGCCCGATGTTTACGCGTTCCGTTCAGGCCTCTCCCGCCTGCGCACCGGGGAGAGGACGCGTCTCGTTCAGCGAGAACTGCGCAGCAGGAGGTGACCGACAGAACAGGCCGCGGAGGGAAACGGAAACGCCCTTCACTCTGTCCTACTCTGTGATTGGAAGAAGCCGTTGTCATTCAAAACAGAACGCGCGCAGTGACATAACATAGCGAAAGCAGCTAGGTACACACTCACCACACATACGCATACAGGTTAAGAATAGGCTATATATATATATATATATATATATATATATATATATATATATATATATATATATATATATATATATATATATATATATCAGATCCAAAAGCCATTTTATATATATATATATATATATATAATATATATATAATATATATAGTATACACACACACACACACTAGGCTATCACTGATTCTTGAGATGAGGGACAAAACATGTTTTAGAAGTTAGTTTTTATTATTTAATAATACATTAACTTAACTATAAACTGATATATTTGCATGTCTCAGCTAAACCTTGCAAGGGAACAGGTTTTTCTGAAAAAGTTTTTTCTAAAAATGTACATTAATTCACTTCATAACTTAATTTGTGTCAACTCCTTCAGACGCATCAAAAACAATGCTATTTTAATTTGATTCATCCAACAACAGCATTACGTCTTAAATTATGTAATATGGTGTTCAGTAAAGGTGCTAAGTGGAAAAAATACGTTTTTATTTTTCTGGGTTAGGGTTATTAATAACAATCCAGTTTCTAAATTCATTGAATCTCTACCCTCATTTTTAATGTTAAACATATATAACCAATGTTCTTAAGTAAAGCAGACATAATATCATGTAGTTCAGTTGATGTTTTAATATTTTAACACAATAAATGAAAAAAAGAATAAATTAATAACTAATTCATTGAAACCTTCATCTGACCGTGTTAAATACTGAGGGAGTTGACAAAACCTGACGGAGTTGACAAAGGTCAACTGAAGCAACAACTGATTGACAAGACAACACATTAAGACAAAAAACTAATTTTTGAATTATTATGTAATTTAATACAACAATCATTCCAGTGGTTTGTTTTCCTCCACAATAGAGTAGGCCTACAGCTCATTCTGGGTCTCCAGTAGCTCACATATACAAGAAGCGTATGTTAGGTTGAGTTTAATGGTAAGCATTATTATGTGCTCTAGCAGCAACATAAATACTCCCACTGAGAATCCAAAGGATCTGTAGCTTGTCTTTAAACTGCATCAATTACATTTGATTTGTGCTGACCTGCATGACTTAAGCTGTGGGAAACTGGCATGTTCACTCTCTGTGAAGTCCATGGGTTTGCTATTGCTGTCATCTTGTGAGTGACAGGTTGTAAAAAGAAAAAAAAAGATGTGTACAAATGATTTATTTATAATAAGAACTGCAATATTCCATAAAAATAATAATCATCAATTTTAAATTCATGGTGACAGTAGATGTAAAGATGCCATGTATATAAGGAATGTAAATCAGGCAAAATATATATGTAAATAATATCATGACACAACAATAGATTATTTCCCCAAATAAAATTAATATCACAATATAAATAGTTTTGTGAGCACTTGTCAACTCCATACAGGTCAACTCCATCAAAACTGAATATTTTTTCCACCCTTAGCCACGTGTTGTTTGTTTTTTCCGCAGTTGTAGCTGCCTTAATAAACATAAAAAAATGCCAAGATTTATCCCAGAAATCTACAGAAACTATTACACCGGGATGACACAGTTTTCAATTATATTTTATTATTATTAGGCTATTGTTAAAAACGCTGTTTATTGTGTTGCAGCACTGATTCATTTCTTAAAATTCAATTGGACTCTAATTTGCATTTACTATAAACAATATTAAAAATGAATTTACATGTCTTTGCTGAAAAAATATATTTTCTAAAAGGTATTTATCAACTCTGTTTCTTATGAATGTCAATAAAACTGATCAAGTTCATTTGGATACTTTTTAGATCATTCATCGGTTCTTCATCGGTTTTCTGCTCGGACTGATTCGTTGTTCACACTGGTTGATTGAAAAGATTTGACTCACAAGAGCTGCACCCAGCTTCAGAAAAGCAATTGTCAGGTTATAAACCAAAAACTAAGGAACATAAACCATCTTAAGATGGCTTGCTGGTCCTAGCTGGTCTTTATTTTGTTTTAGAGGGGTTTTGGGATGAGACCAACTGGCCTGATAATAATAGTTCTGCCAGGCTCATAACATTAAGGGATAGTTCATCCAAAAATAAAAATTCTGTCAATCAAAGAGTTAATGGACCCCATTGGCGTCCATATTTCTTTCTGGTCAAGTCAATGGCTACCGTCAACTGTTTGAATACCAACATTCTTTAAAATATCTTATTTTGTGTTCAACAGAACAAAGAAATTCATATAGCCTATAGGTTTGGAACAACATGAGGGTGAGAAAATTATGACAACATTTTCATTTTTGGTTTAACGAGTTCGTTTGCCCATAAAATCTTTAAGATATTAGGTTAAACTTATTTGGCTTGCTGTCCGCTGGAGAGGGGCTCGATGAAGCAGCTTCAACTCGAGCTCTGATATACCCCCCAGTGGCTACATTTAGGACCTGTTAATTAAAGGGCAAGGTACCTAAGATGAAGGTGGAGTTTGGGGAGGTGGAGGGATACTGGAACAGCTGATACTAGGGAGAGGTAAGCGGCTGCTTATATACTCTGTTTGTTGATTGAAAGATTGGATGGGCTCGCTCCTCCCTAACTTACGTTTAGGAACTTCATTTACTTAAGCTTCAACCATTATAACCATCTTTTCAGAAAAACCCCAAGACCGTTGATCCGATTATCTGGAAAATTGGCTCAGATCATCTTCAGACCATGCTGACAAAATGTTCCAGAATTCAAGTTGATCAAGCAAACCCTTCTTGTATAACACGCAATATAATTTGACGAAGAGCAAAAATGTCTCCTAATGTCATTACTCATTTTTGCAGTTGGCCATGCTTTTTAGATATCAATACAGTTATTCTTACATGCAGTTTTTATAATGAGATTTTGTATGCCAGCCTTTTTTGTAGCACTCATTATAAAAATAACAAAAATCATATCAGCCTTAGTACAGAGACTCGACCGTAAACATCAAAAACATTATCATTATCTTGACCCAAAGGTTCAAAATCATCTCTTTGGAAGAAAATTAATAAGGTTACTTAACAATGAGCTAATTATACTTTAAAGCAGGACCATTTTCAGCTAATTTCATTTTGGACGCGAGCCCACGGTGTCGAATTTCTGCCGACGAAGGGAATGAAGTGTTAATTTTCGCTTACAAGAACAAAATTCCCTGGCCTTGATCAAATTAACGTTGACTGTGTGTCGACCAGATGTTCCTTCAAGGAAAGCCAAGCTGGCGTGCCTGTAGAGTATCTCTCAGTCTTGACCATAATTCCCCGATGATAGAGGTGTCGGGAAACCCTAGATTGTCTAATAGCAGGCTACTTTATTCCTTTTCCTTCTGAGAACCAGAATCAATAGGAGTTGTTTTTCACAGCATAAGCAAAACAAATAGAAGTTCAATGATATCGCGTACCGCGTCACAGCAATTACACATCATACAGGCTCGAATCGAGTTTATAATCCGTTTAAGGCCTAAGCTTTGGTTATCTTCTGTTACTTGAGTGGAATGCACAAAGCCACACACTTCCTGGTTTTTTAAAAGGTGTCTCTGAAAGCTGTCTGCAGTCCCATCGGCATGACGTCGATGCATCATCTCTTACAATATTCAACACTTATGATCTGAAGAGACGGGCTCTTCAGTCAAGATGATTTCTCTCAGCTGAAGAGAACATTTCTTAAGTAGGCCTATTCTTCTGATGGCATGGCCTTGGAGCATCTTTATTTGATGCGTCTTATAATGGAAGGAGACAGGATTCGAAAGGCTTTGAATTAACTATGACGTCTCATATAGGTCAAGTGAACAAGAATTAATAGAAAAGGCTGATACTGAAACAGTGAATCTCAGCTAACACTTGGTCTTATTTTATTGTTGACATTATGCACTAGCTAACGTGAACTAACAACGAGCAATATTTTTAAAAGCATTTATTATTCTGGTTAATAAAAATACAATCTTTATGTTAGCGCATTAACCGATGTTAACAGATGTTGATTTTAAAACTGTATTGTTGGTAAGTGTTGAAAATGACATTAAGATTAAGAAATGTTAGAAGTGTTGTTCGTTGTTAGTTCAGCCCGATCTCACGGCAATTCGTACAAATTTTACGAGGTGGCTAATTCGTACTCATACGACCTCACTCATACAAATTCGTACGATTTTGGCTAATTCGTACATATTTTAAGAGTTACCAAATTCGTATTAATTCGTACGAATGACCTACCACTGACCCCGCCCCTAAACCTACCCATCACGTGGGTTTAGACAAATCGTACAAATTCGTACGAGTGAGTGAGGTCATATGAATTAGTACGAATTAGCCACCTTTTAATCACTCGTACGAATTTGTACGAATTGGACTCGTGAGATAGCGATGTTAACAATTGAAACCTTATTGTGAGGTGTTAAGCCTACGTGAATTGAAGTAATACTTCAATCATAGTGTAAAAAGCTCAGGTATGATTAGTAAGAATAAAGAGAAGAATAAACCCCAGTTTCACAGATAAGGCCTAAGATATTCCTAAAATGCATGTTTGAGCTGTTTTAACCCAAATAAACTTATCTTAAAATATGTCAGTGCCATTGTTTTGTCTCAAGATTCACATCAGTAATGTTTTTTTCTAATTAAAGCATGTTTATAAAAGCTTCTTAAATGCTCTACTTTCACTAAGGTCTAATCCTGGCTTAATCTAAACCCTGTTTGTGAAACCAGGCCTAAATGATCTAAATTCTAAATGAAGGATCCCGAGGACAAGAGTCCTGGCCCTGACATCTCAAAGTCTTTGCTGACACCTACTGGAATACAATAATGTGGCTTTGTGAAAATCTCAGCTCTTGTCCTCCTCCTTCTTCTTCTTCTTCTTCTTCTACTACTCTTTTTAACTGCAAAGTCTTTTAGTGGACGAATGCCTCTGCACAACATGC